TAACCCGGAGATTTGAAGACCCTGAAGTTTGGGGCCTCGCCTGGCTTGTCCGAGTTGCGAGAGGCCTAAGCCCCAAACTCCCCTGATCCAGGTCCTCAGCTTCTTGGAGCGCAGTCCAACTGCGGAGCGGCACTCGAAGGCCTCCAGTGCTTTTGGGTTTATACAGCAGCTTATGGAGTCCATGTGGTTCATCTGTAGTACCCTATGGAGTGCCACGACAGCCCGGGCTGTAAGCTACCCCAAAACCTTAATTATCATAGTATCCCCGAAGCCATCCAAAACTCCCAACACCCTGGAAAAGGCAAGACAAAGCCTCTGAATCGAAGGCGTTGGCTTCAGTTCTTCAGCGCGAGGATCCGAAGCTCTGCTCTCGAGCCATCCGTCTTCTCAAGGCTGTCTTTGGGTCTTTGGGATCTAAAAGCGGCGTCGGGTGCATCTCGCTTTGGTTGAAGATTTGGGGCTTGTGAAGGTTTGAGCAACCGTTTCCGGCTTCAGGGTTGAAGCTGACAGCTTCGGCTTGAGGTTTTAGATTGACATGGAGCTCTGTGTTTTGAGTTTCGTGTCAGGCTCGGGTTGCAAAAACATGGAGCTTCCAGTTCGGAGGGGAGGCTTTTGTATCTACAGTTTCGGCTTCCATAGTTCTCGATTCCCCAGTTCTGCACCGGAATTGCTGTCGCACTTACTCCGACCCAAAGAAACGGCCTCATTAGTCGGCTCTTTGGTCGCACTGTGGACTCGTCGACTGCTCTGCAGCCCGTAGGTCTTCTAGATGTGCAAGATCCGCACCGATGAATGCACATGCTTCTGTAACCGTACTTGTAGAAACAAATGAAGAAGAAACGCGATCCAGTTGCTGGCACATGTGCAGGAATGTACATTCGTTTATGCTGAACGCAGGTAGGTAGAGGGTGTAAAGTATATCAAGCGCAGTCAACCGTACATGTACAAGCAATTACTGAGAAACGCCATCCATTTGCTGGCACATAATACGCATAAGCATATGCATTGTTTGTTTTTGGTATACATACATACGTAGAGAGAGAGAGGGAGAGAGAGAGAGAGAGAGAGAGAGAGAGAGACAGGCAGGCTGGCAGTCTGGCAAGACACAGACGCGCATGCAAGCCCAAGAAAATATCTCAGAGTAATATTGACATCTGTTACCGCACAAAAAAATGTAGAATGTTTGTAGCGAGTCTTACATGGAGCTCCTGAGAAGATCCGGTCGGCCCGTAGTCTCCGAATAATCGTACCTCGCTGAGGCGCTCTTCAGGATCTGGTTTTATAATAGGGTTTCGTAGGGGTTTCTATGAGGCTCTCGAGCACCCGAGGCAGTCACGAAGTCTCAGCACTTTCCTCCATCAAGTCCGAACCCAGTATTGAGGCCTTCAGTCTGGCAAGCCCTGAAGCCCAGCATGCAGAGAGGGGTTGGGCGCTGCAGCGGCAGAGCACGTGGCACCGCTGCTAGGTGCGAGGCTCACAGCTGTAGCAAGGCTTTCTTGCAAGTAGTGGCCTTCTTGGAGGTCCGTACATCCGAGATCAAATGCTTGTTTATATAGGCTGCAAATTGCCTTGCCTTATGTTCCGAACGCTTGTAACCAATAGATCTGGTATTGAGGGGCTTGTTGCGTCACCTATTGCCAGTTCTATGATGTGTCAAAGAGGGCCTACCGACGACGAGATCAATCTAGGCTTTGTGCATCGTGAGGATTTCTGGTTCCCGGACTTAAACCCTAAACCCCGAGTGGAAAAGGGTCCTGCAAAAGAAAAGATTGGCTACTATGGAACCTCGCCTGGCATGTCCGAGTTGTGAGAGCGTAAAAACGATTGGGCTTCCGGACTTCCGGCACGAAGCAGTTCACCTGGCTAGTCGCTGAATGTCCCTGACATTCAGCGCCTGTACTGCAGAGCTGTGGTATACTGCTTGTAGTGGCTATGGTGTTGTCCTTTCTGCAGAACAATTTAGCATGTTGTTGTCCATTGGTTTTAACTTCCCTTTTCTCCCTCTCGCTCTCTCTCTCTTTCTCTCTCTCCCTCTCTCTCTCTCCCCCTCTCTCTCTCTCTCCCTCTCTCTCTCTCTCTCTCTCTCTCTCTCTCTCTCTCTCTTGCCGTATGCCCGCCTGCAGCTTTCTATGCGCGTCTGCCGGATAGATATGGAGATAGTTGCATGACGTCAGTAAACGAATATTCACGTGTTGTGGAAGAATCCCTTCGCTCATAGATTTTGGACGGCTTCACTTTGCACCAAGGCGACGAGGATGCAAGGTTCGATTGCATAGACGTGCTGCAGAGCCTTGGTTCAGTCGCTGCGCCTCGGACAGGAGATACCTGATCTACTCTTGTGGTACTCTTATAATAATGATTATAGTGGCTTTGGTGCGGTCGGCTTCGTGGTTCCTGCCTTGTAGGTCCAGGGGACTGGCAGACCCAGACAAATCCTCGGGGAGAACCGCTTCTTACGATGTGCCCCAACCCACAGCACACGGCAGTCTGACTTTCGTCTCCAAAACTTGTCGAGTTCGCTGAGGTGCCCCACGTGGCACCTTTCCTCCACCACAGTAGCGAGGATGGGCATGTTATTTGTTGGGGGTCGAGGGTGTCGACTTGCTTTACCTTTGTGCTTTAAGGGTTCTTGGGGCCTGGCAGCCTTGCAGCTCCGAACTTCCCGCGTGCAGCTCGAAGAGGGGGGATGGTTCACACAAGCTAAAGGTATCGTCAGGCTGCACAAGAATCCGGAATGCTGTGCTTTGCAGATCTGAAGGGCAGTGCCTCTTGCCAAACCTTACGAGTATATTGCTGACACTTGACTTACCACGTGAACTAACATTTCAACCATGAACTTCTTGATAGACACTGCTTCCTTTCCGGAGGTTTTCGGTCTGTCGAATCGGCTTTCCAGCCTGCCAGGCCAGAGCCAACAATGCCTAGACTCTAGACTCTAGACCCCGATCCCAAACCAAAACATGTGGTGTGGAATGGGCCAGAATGCTATTCGAAGCGGAATTGAGACGACCTTCATTGATTCTGCCCTGCACAGGCAATGAAATTTGGAGGGCATCCAGGTTTCGGGAATAGGCAGGTAAGTCTGTCGTGCAGAGGTACTGAGCCAGGGACTTCAGTCTCTTCAGGATGATGGTGCTGCGACTTTTTTTTGATCTGGCTAGTTCACACCTCCTGTTTGTTCTCTATAACACCCCAGCCACCTTAAACTGTGCACTGCAGGCTCGGTTCAAGAGTTGCCCGTTCCAAACTGCTAGACGCTTTTTAGTTTTTTCCGATACCCGAAGCAAATATAAATAACTTGCAGTGCGAAAGCCAAGCTCTTCCAGGACATGCGAGTGGTGGCACATAGGCTCATGACGAGGTTGGAGGCAGGGGAATAGCTCGAAACTGCAGGATCAGCCTACCATGGCCCAGAAGAAGACAAAGTGCCACAGTGTACCGTAGACCCTGCGTCCTAAACCTCTTGTTCAGCAACAACGGTTGAAGTGGATCTGATTGCGGCTTATCGACCCTGCATCATAGGTTCGTTTTAGCCAGGCGGGAGGACAAAACATGTTCGCTTGAGTCTTCCCCGTTGAGCTGTTTCGGCGCATGCTTCTGGTGTGCAACATTTGAAGGGTAGAAAATGCAGAAAGTATTCCTGGGCCGGCAAGGGCCCTGTTGTGAATTCAGGCCCCGATTTCGGTGGCTTTGAGAATCAGTACGACAAATTGAGTTTCGTTGGTTCCTGCTCGGGAACGCTAGTTTCCACTTCGGTCCGCGGCTCCACACACCGTTCAGCTGCTCAGAAAGGGGCCCTTGAAAGGGGTCTCCCATGTCTTTCGAGCATTGCTGTGCGAGTTTCACATAATTGGGCCCGGTTTGAAAAGCACCTGCTGAATTCGCAAGGGCACGCCGCGAGAACTCCCACGGGAGCAACGTGAAACTCCCTCCGGCCACAAGGCGTCGTTACCTGCATGTGATTCACGTTGACTTGAAGCTTCTGCAGGTGGCTGCGTTCGTGTCTAGGTATTTGAAGGGATTCCAACGTGCTGCTTCAAATATGCGGGTGAGAATGGTGTTTCCGAATCGAAAATGTGATCCGCCAGAGTTGCCATTCTCAGTCTCATGATGTGGTGTCGGAAGCCTCAAGGGTGCTCCTGGAATGGTATGTGGGTATTCAGAGCTTGCTCAACTCGGCGCTCTTTCGTTGATTTGTCATGCATCTTGTCGGTGTTGTCTCATTTGACATCGCTGGTGCTATCGACGTGGTGGCGCCGCTGTGTTGCTTTGTCTTCCTGTCATGTCTTCCCTCGTTGCATGTCAAGGCTAAGTGTTCTTTGCCTCGTGACGGCGTATTTGGCAGAAGCTCACGTGCCAATCTGTTTCTACTGTTTTCTCTCATGGGCAACCAGTCTTGCACGGCGGAAACTGTGTATCTGAGTGTTGCTTGCGGGAGGGTCATACGCGGTGGGGGGCTTGCCTGTTGTGTCAGGGATGTGGGCTCAGGATTTAGGTGTGGTTTTTATTGTTTAGGATATAGGGTTCTTCTCAGAGATGGGGTTGTGGTGCTTGGTGTCTCTGCTTGTGTGGCGAAAGTGCTTTGTGGCTGAGGTGTTGGTGTCATTCACGGCGCCTATATATAATGTGCGAGTAGTTTCGAAATGACGGGTTTGTGGATTGCCAAAGGAAGAAGGAAGCGGACCCAGATTAAAACCTTGGGTGCATGGAGCCCGTCGCTCCATTTCGGAAGCAATTTGCATCTCACGATACCCTTACCATCATCAGCGTGACATCTTTCAAGGACGACGATACCATATACTCAGCAATTACCAAATCAGATAGCATCTGCCACTTCACAAAGCCTGGAGATGATGCCAGACGCCAGAAAGCATCAGAATCTCCCTAATCAGCCTCACAACGAGACAGTCAACATCATGAGCAAAGTCGGACTCCGAAATTCCTCGCGTTAAGAGCCTTCCAAACCGTAATCGTGGAAGCTCCTGACAAACGAAATCGAGGCGGTGCGGCAGGGAGATTTCAAGAGGCGGAAGCTGACAGGTGGAGAGGACATCGAGCATCTGAGATGATATGAGCTAGGATTTAAGGAATATCATTGAATGATATCATATATTCCAACTGGTTCCGGTGGTTAGAGGTAGAGGCTTCCAGGATTCCAGCCTTGCGCTCCTCTTTGAGATTCTCGCCTTTCTCGTTTTGCTGTGTATATGTCTCAGCCTGTCCAATGGTGCTTGTCAAGGGATGGAGGGTAGCACTGGCAAAGATGTCCCAATTTCCAGACAGCCCGGATTTTGTGCTGCCGGCCACGAGCCGCAAAGAAGCCAGTCGATTTGCTGTCCGGTTGTTCAGGGTACTTCGGCCTTTTCTCGGCTCTGATTTTTTGTTCGCCCCGAGGGGGGTTGGCGCAATGCGGAGACATTTGTTTGGATTGTCCAGGCTTGACGGGAGTTTGTCCGCATTGCTACTGGGTTTACACTTGGAATCAGTAGGAATCCCATGCTCAGTCAGCATAGTCACATCCAGCGGTCCGAGTTGTATTCAGGTACATCGATGGCATCATCCGCGAGTGCGTGAAGCGGTCTAGGCCCCGCAAGCTGCGGAAGACAGTTGGCCATGCTGTCGGTCACATGCCCGTAATATTCTGACACTTCTCTGAACCGTGAAGCGTGAGTCCTGAGTTCGTGTTGAAGCACACAGGTTCGAGATTAGGGAATGCCTACACAAGCCCTGCGCCCAAACGTCTTTCTTCCTTCTTGGCCTCGAAACCCTTTCCCGATCGGGGAATCTTCTACAACAGGCCGCTCCTAGATCTAGCGCCGGCGCCACCCCCAGACATGGATCCACCGGCCGAGGTCGAGGAGCCGAGTACCGCCTCGATGTCAGCTAATCACAGCTGCTTGTAGTATCTTGTCGTGTTGTAGCACTTCTTGTTCTGGTATGTCTGGTATGGATTGGTACCAGAGGATAATTGGAGTAAGCAGTAGCAGTACTACTGTTGCCAAAGCCAGTGCTATCCAGTGCTTGTGAGGACCTGCCGCCGCCCCCTGCACGAGTACCAAGGCCAGGGAGAGAGGATTGAAGATTGGAGCGCCGAAGGGTTGTTCGAAATGTCCACCGTACTCTATCTGTTTGTGTCCACCACATAGAGGTCACGCCGGTCTCGACCGCGAGCCCGAGACCACACTGCAAGGGAGCAGACGCCAGTTGCTGCGCTTGGTGCTCCGCCACCGCCGCCTCCGCCCGCTGGACCTGAGAACCAGGCTCCTTTCCCAGGCCCGTGTCTCGCACAACCAATTTTCGGGCCAGGTCCTCAGATATTCATATGTGTGCGATTCCTCGAGACCTTATGTCGGATGGAGATGCAGAGGTGCGGGCACCTGGCCAGCTCACCATCGCCCTGCCTTCGGTTACAGCCTGCCTTCCCAATCCCTGCTACAATGCCGCAACTGCAGATGCCTGCTGGTTGTCCGACATGGCCCGCGGCTATGTGGACACAGCTTTGTTCCATGCCCATGCCCATGCCATTCGGGCCTCAGCATTTTGCGGCGTGTCCGCTGATGCGGTTCAGCTGACGTGCACCAGCATTCTAGACTTGACGGCAACTGGCTAGCTGCAGAGATCGCAGCTCGTGCACGTGGGCGTTGTTCCAAATCAGGCCTGTCTTGAAGGCATGTTTTCAACTTCTCGCATGAACGATTGTGATTTAGAACAACCCGCCATGTAACCATTTGTGTACATAGCATGCTTGGGCTGCTTCGCCAAGCAGGGTGGAGGACTGCTCCACCTCGGACAAAAATGCAAGATTCCAAACCATGCGCTCTTTGCATACTCTTGGAGTCTCAGCGTACAGGGCTTACTGGGGGCTGGCTGCCTGTAAAGGCTGTGCGGCACTGAAGGTATGCGCGCCTGTCACTCCACCTACCGGGGATATGTAAGAAGTAGTCTGCATGTCGAAACCCAAGAGCCTCGGACTCAAGGTGCCCAAAGCTTTTGTTCCCCCTGTAATTAGCATCCAACCCTGAACCTTCATAAGCCCTTATCAACGCCTACCTGAGGCAAGCAAATACGTTTGGATTTGGCTCGCTGCTTCTCCGAGGCCCGGTGTATGTTTGCAAGAGTTTGTGTCGGGTAAAAAGGGCAGGTCGAGCAAGAAAGAAACCTAAACTTGGTCTTGGATTCGGGGCAATCAACTCGGGTCAAAGCTGTGGAAGGTAAGGGCTAGCGGTTATAACAGTTCTGGGGAATGTTGGCAGTACCAACAGGCAATCCATGATTGGCGCAGCATGAGCGGTTTGCAGGCTGTCGCGTGCCCCCCCCCCCCTTGTGCTAATGGCGTTCGCCGGAATTTCACCGCAACGACTGAATTCCCCACTTGCGATGGCTACGTCCAGAATTACAAAGCCCTAAATCCGTGAGATCGTTGTTGATATCCCGGTCCTTGACGACAACTTCAAAGCAGGGTGTTCGCTGTCTTTCTGGTGCACCTGTCTTCTGGCGTCTGACATCTTCTGACCTTAGGATGCGGGCTTTTCCGTTGCTGCAAGGTCCCTCGGCTCAGTTGTGGTGCTGCACGAACAGCACTTCGGCAGGTGCTCGAGGTGCATGTGCGCAGGTGCGACGGGCACGGCTTAGCGTTACATACCATCATGGCCTCCTCTACTTGATCAAGGAGGCTACTAAACGTAGGGTTTAGAATCGTGTACAACAAGGCGACATGGCTCTGGAAGCTGAGGTTTCGTGTCACAGAACTTCTAGGGAAACCTCGCAAAACTTCTAGCTCACATTGACGTTGGAGTCGCCGATCAATCAAAACCATCCAGCACCCCGATCTACAATGAATTGCCCCGGGCGACTCCCACGCTTAAAAAATGAAGCTCAGTCATTCGGTCGTCCAGATGCCGTGCCGCAGCTTCAATTGCAAACCCTCTGTCTTTTAAGCAATTCGGATAGGCCGCATCTGTAGAGTAGATTACGGGACGAGCATAAGCCGGTAAAAACTGTACATGTGTATATGGATATGCATATACATGTACATAATTACATATAATTATTACACACATACAAATATATATATATATATATATGGTCACACCCCCCCCATGATCCACACGAACCTGCTTTT